TCTTATGTTGTTTTTTTTAACAAATAATTTTAACAGAGATAGGAAAAATATACATAAAAATGTTATAGTTGCATAACATTATCTAAATATTAATTCATAACATCATTATTAAATATATTAGTAATCTGGATGAAAAAGTTATTTAGTTTATACATATCATTTTTTAATAAGTTTCCAATTCTTAACACATAATTTAAATCATGGTTCATGCCAAATATTTCTGTTATTTGATATTTCTGATGATATTTTTTAATAGCTGTGCAGTCTTTCAACAGACGAAGAATAGAAAAGTTTTCTGATTTACACCAATAGCACTTTTGTTTAGAACAGTTTATATATGCATTATTAACCAACAATGAATATTTATTTAGACGAAGTTGTAAGAATAATTGTTTAATATTCATATTTATATCAGTTATAATAAATCTGGAATCAGAAGGAATTTTTAAAATTTGAGAATACCAGGGGTGATAAGCCGATTGCAATATTGAATTTTGATCCTGAGTTATTGGTTGTGATATGGCCAATTCCAACCGTAGTGTATAGGCGTTATTCCAATTTATGTCAGATTTGTCTAATAAAACACTTTTATTTGAATTATTATTCAAACTATACTGCCTGTTTTTTATATATCAATCAGTTAAATGAAAATAAAATTTAAAAAATCTTTATTTACAGCAACTCGTTTAGAAGAAAAAGAATCTGAAATGAAAAATGAATATAGTAAATTACATGAAAGGTATACAGAGGTAACTATTTATTTTTTTATGATCTTTTTACTGAAAATAACTAAAGAGAAAATCAATTTTAATATGTGATCAAATACTGGAGGATCTTAATTAATAAAATAGTCCAAATGCAATCAGATTTGATATGGTGATGTTTTAGGACATAAAGAAGACATTTTCATTAAAAAAAAAAAAATCAGTACCAAAACTCATAACTAAGGCAGTTTTCGGACTAAATGCAACAAAAAAGTAAAGACAGGAGAACTTCATCCTATCTTGTCTAATTTGACAATATATCCTCAGGCAATACTGATTTTTGTTTTTCAAACATGAGTGATCTGTTTAAATAATTTTATGTACACAAATGTAATACAATAATTTAAATACATATTCAGGCAATATATTTACATTAAATAAATATGTTTTATTACAAAAAAATCAGTATCTTTTACACTAATAGAATTTAAGTCTGAATCTTATGAAAAATAAGCTCACCACTTTTTAATAATGAAACAACGTAGACAAAGCTGATTTTTAATGCTAAATATTTAAAAATAATTCAAGAATTTGTGAATCAAGGATTAAGAGAGAAATGGATAATATCATCTACAAAATTTTTCAAGTTTTAATTCTTGTTTATACCAAAAATTATTCTAAAGTTTCAAATTTTGTAATCCTTAGATAACAAAAATGATTTTTTATTATATTTTATATCAGGCTATTATACAAAAATTTAAGTTGTAAAGATAAGAAATTTCTTAAATTTTAGTAATTACCAGGTTTAATAAAAGACTATTATGGAGTTCTTTAGGCACTAATAAATATTAGTGCCTAAAGAACTCCATAATAGATTGTACATTTTGAAATATTTTATTTATTGATAGGAGAAACAAAAAAATTACAATTATTTATATAATAGATTATATAATAAGCAATAATTTTATATTGCTATTATATAATAAGCAATAATAGAACATAAATGCTCCGGTTATTTGGTTTAAGTAAGTCGATTGAATACATGTTTGTTTTTTGTGAGCTTTAAATATTTCTATTATTTCCAAATATCAGAGGTTGTTAAGATTTCTATTGGGTTGGGTTATTGCTGCATCCTCTCTTGCAACTCTTATGTCTTAGCCAACTATACCATAGAGCAAGACATTATACAGTAGAGCGTCGATTATCCGAAAGTCAATCATCCGAAAGAATTCCAGTTGGCAAATTTAAATTTTCGCCAGTGCTGTGGCGCTGCAATCTTTGGCTATGTCTTGGACTACTCAAATATTTTACATTTTTGATACTAAATTAACTTCTGAAGTATAATTTTTTATTGTTTTTATATTTTTCAATATATTTATTTTGTTTGTACAAAATAAAAAATAATTTTTAACGATACAATAGTCTTCGTTAGGCTATTTCGTTGAAATTTTGTTGATGTTAAATCAACGAAAATTCAACGCGAAGCGACACGCATTGGAGAAAAATGTCAAGATGGGATAAATTAATATATTTTTTCGTATATAATCGGTTATCCGAAACATCGATCTTCCAAACAACCTCAGTCCCCAATTGATTCGGATAATCGATGCTCTACTGTATTACATTATATTTTTGTGGAAACAATTAAAGTTCACAAAAACAGCAACAGGCAACAGTTTCACTCTTAATTTTAATTGTACCAATGCATTTAATACATATATTTGATATTGACAAAATCAGCCAAGTTGAAAATCTGCTTGCTCCTGACATAAAATATCATACTTAAGAATCAATTCTTCTAGTCTTTTATTTAATAAAGGCATAAACAGTTTTTCAAGTACAAGAACCAAAAATATAGGACAATAATTTTTAGGGTCATAAACATTGCCGTTTTTTATATATTGGAATAATTAAGGATTTATTCTGTGTTTCAGAAAATTAGAATTTTTTTTAATACAGTAGAGTCTCGTAAACTTGGCACTCGATAACCCAACAGTCTGGATAACTCAGCCACACCCTGGCAGGGCAAAAAAATCCTTAGTTAATTAATTTTTATTATAGACAGCTCTATGCCTCATAAAGTATTTTTCTGAGGTCTGTCTTATCAGGTAAATTACTGTACACAGTGTATTCATTAATTTTCATTTTCATGTAGTAAAGGCTCTATGCCTTCATAAAGGACGTACTTTTCCTTTGTTTAAGGGTATTTGGGCAGTTTATTCTCTGTTGTATTCTCAAGTAAACAATACATACAAGTACAGTACAGTATTTTCTGAGGAAATATTCATACTTATTTTTTTTAACTCCATTCCCAATAACTCGACATTTTCACAAATTCGGCCATCCTTCGGTCCACATTAGGCCGAATTTTCAAGACTCTACTATAGCAGTAAAACTTCCAATATAGTAAGAAGAAACTTTTCGGAGAAACACTTTAAATATTCTGTTTTAATAAAATTAATTCCAAATGAGGTACTAGATTTAAAGCAATTAATTGCTCCTTTTACATCCTCCAATGTAAAATTTGAAAAACATTCTATTCCTGTTGGAAACACTTTATACACATCCAAAAAGAGGGTAACGTTTAGAAAATTTAGCAATGTAAAAATTGAACCATCATTCCAAGGGAATTTTTGAACTGTAACCCAATGAAATTTTATATTTAAAGCTGTTAATTTTTTGCTAAAATATTTTAGATTTATTGCATGTCTAATCTATTTAAATTCCAAAAATAAGACTGTTTTTTTTCTTTAAACATAATAGTTTATCTTTATCTTTACGTTCTTACTTAGCATATGCACATTTTTTAAGTGAATTACCATCAAAGTTTACATTAATTTTTCTCCAAAATGACGTTTTTCTCTTTACAAAATTTAGGAAAATTTAAAAAAATATTTTTAGAATTTTTATGTTTCCTTTAAACAGATTTGAGATGATATTTATTAATTATTGTTGTCCTTTTTATGACCTTTATGAACTCACATAATACAGTAGAAGTTTGTTACTCTGACATCTACAGGACTAGAATGGCAATAGATTATTGAAAATGCTGGATTACCAGACATTGTTGTACATTTTGTACCAATGCATGCTACTATATGCATCTTTTTTCTTTACATATGCTCTTTAATCAGTCTGAAGTTGAATATATTGTGTTAAGATTGAAAAGTCTGCAAAATTATAATTAACACATTATTGCCAAAAAACAACATGCACAATGAGTTGTACACATAACATTTATTTTCTAGTCACTCACTGTTGTGGGTGTATGAGTTGAGTGAGTATGAGGTTAACCAATCTCCCAAATTCAGGAAAAACAGTAGGGAAAATTCAGGCAAACAAGAACAAAGAATCAGACAGGGTAAACAAAAAGATTAAGAAATTATCAATAATGCCAAATTAAAAATTGGTAGTTGTGTTTTATTTGTGTAAAATTCTTGACAAATCTACTCCTTCTGTTCCCTTAACCAAAGGCTCCCCACATGCACTATATACAAGGGTCATTCTAAAAGGAAAGAACATTTTGATCTGATGAGCTGTGCAGTTCTTCCACCACCCCCTGCTGCGTCATGGACCTTCCCATTCCTTCATGCCAGTCTGATGCTAACAGCAAACTGCAACAGTCATTTACTATTTATAGTGTGACTTTGAAATGTGTGACAAAATTAAAGATTCCTCTAAGTGTGAGGTTTGTAGAGTAATATGCTTTTTGAATGCAAAATCCACCCTGTCGAAATTTACAGACAGATAACTGAGGTTTATGAATGAAGCTTCAGTTCAAAAATGGTTTATCATGTTTAATGGCAGGCGAATGAATATTCATGATGAAGAATGCTCGGGCTGGCCTTCAGTTGTGATTGACAAACTCAAATCAAGGAGTGGGGAAAAAATTCAACAGGATAGATGTTTCACTATGATGGACTCAGTTTGTTCTTTCCTGAAATTTCAAAAACAGTTCTTTATGTCATTGTTAGTGGTGATTTGGGCTACAGAAAAGTATGCGCCAGGTGGGTTCCTTGATTTTTGACAGATGAACACAAACAAAACCAGATGGGAGCTGCACTGACTTTTTTCAGTCAGTACAACAAAGATGGCGAGGAGTTTTTGAATCACATTGTTACTGGTGATGAGACCTGGATTTCTCATAAAACTCCAGAAACAAAGCGCTAGTCAATGGAATGGCATCATTCCGGATCTCCAACAAGACCAAAAAAAGCCAAACAAATTCTGAGAACCAAAAAGGTTATGGCTACAGTGTTTTGGGATCAAAAGGGCATCCTACTCATTGACTACATGTCTAGAGGGGAGACCATAAATGCAGCAGCCTATTGTCAGACCCTTCACCAACTACGCCACGCCATTCAAAATAAATGGCGGGGATTGTTGTCCAGAGGCATTGTGCTTCTTCAGGATAACACACACACACGTCCACATACTGCTGCTGCTGCATTGATGAAGAACTTGCTTTAGCAGTTTAAGTGGGAAGTTGTATTTTGAAGGATTTTTTCACCAGGAACCATTATGGAAGTGATAACAAACTGAAAGAGGCAGTTAATGACTGGTTCAAGAACTTGGCAGTAACTGAGCGTGCAGAAGGCATAGAAAAGCTGGTGATACACTATGACAAATGTTTAAATTTGTATGGCAACTATGTAGAAAAATAGCTAAGGTATCATATGTGTTGTAAANTAAATTTTCTTACAATATCTTATAATGAGGCGTAATGCCTATCCAATGGAGAGAAACAAGTCCTTTCAAAAGATAAAAGTCCAAATGTCCTGATAGTCGTGGTTCAAGAACTTGGCAGTAACTGAGCGTGCAGAAGGCATAGAAAAGCTGGTGATACACTATGACGAATGTTTAAATTTGTATGGCAACTATGTAGAAAAATAGCTAAGGTATCATATGTGTTGTAAAACAAATTTTGTTTCATTATCTTAAATAAAAATATCTAGAGAAACAAATGTTCTTTACTTTTAGAATGACCTCATACATATAATTCAATTCACAAAAGTTAAACATATTTCAAAGTATGAAAAACATGATATATGGAAATGTCATGCTTCTAATTGAAGTAAAGGTGGGTTATGGACATCACTTTTGCCTTGATTTTCACCAGTGGACTTTAGTGCACTGTGTTAAAACAAATTCCATTTTGTAGAATAATTATACTAGCATGCTAGATTTATTATTGGACAATTCCTGATTATTGGCTTATTTTCAGAGGATACCAGATTATTGCAGATGCTGGATTAACAAACTTCTACTGTAATTATAGTAAAGATTATTGCAAAATTATAATTAACACATTATTGCCAAAAAACAACATGCACAATGAGTTGTACACATAACATTTATTTTCTAACATAAAAATATAAATACGACTTTTAAACAAAGTTAAAAACTTTGTGTCTGTCCTTCCTTTTCGCCGTTTTTCACCATCAGCAATCCTTTAAAAAAGTTCACAAAATTACGGAGACGACCTTTCCTTTGAGGCTACTACCTCCGCAAGAAAATGTAAAAATAGGTAGAGCGTCCTCTGGTGTTTTTGCCACATTCACAATAATACATTTTAAGTAAAAATAAAATTCATGGCCGGCGTTATTTACATTTAATACATAAAAATATAAATACGACTTTTAAACAAAGTTAAAAACTTTGTGTCTGTCCTTCCTTTTCGCCGTTTTTCACCATCAGCAATCCTTTAAAAAAGTTCACAAAATTACGGAGACGACCTTNAAGATTATAATTTTATTTTTAGTTAGTTATACAATTCATAAAAAATATATATTTTATATTTATATCTTTCTTAAATATTATATTATGTTCTTATTGAATTAAGAAAGATTTGAATTTTTCAGTTTCTTTTTAACAAAATTTTATAGTATTAGTTCAAATTTACATTAATAACACTGTTGCTTTATAGTGAAAAAATTAATTTTTTTTCAGTTATTCAAAACTCATATGGATTACATGGAAAGAACAAAAATTCTTTTTGGAACAGATAGACTTGAACAGCTTACTTCAAGATCAAAGTATCTATTATTATTTATTTTATTTTGTTAAATATTCTATTTTTAATAAAATTTTATCCTCTTGTAATGTAAAACTGTTTTAATATGTGAAATATATCTTATATTCTTAATAATGAAATGATACTAATATGATCAAAGCTAAGTTAAATGTTAATTTTTTTTTTCTAAAAAATTTGACTGATCAAAATTAAGTATAAATAGCAAACTAATTTCTGTGGAGCCATTGTAATTGATCATAAAAAAAAAATAGACTTTAAAAGTATTTATTTCTTTAGTGTAATGTTAACTTGTAAAGAATTTTTGCTTTCTTAATTCTATAATTCATTAATTGATTTTAATTTATTCTTAAAGTAATTCAATGATTAATTAATCTAAATGTTTTTATTTAAACTAATAATTATACAGTAGACTCCCCTATAACACTTTAGATAATTCCATGTTATATGAATTCCATGTTGTACGAGTCACTTAGATTTTACAAATACGTGAGCCATTCACAGCCCAGCACATGTATTTGTAAAATCTAAGTGACTCGTACAATATGGAATTCATATAACACGGAATTATCTACAGTGTTATAGGGGGGGTTACTGTATATGCTAGTTACCTAAAATGCTTATTTAATTATAACAAATTAATTCCTAAAAATATATTCAAATAAATTCAGTTATTAATTTCTAAAATGGAAACTGGTATTTCCAATTATATATTAACTTATTATATAAATAGATTTTTTAAATAAAAAGGCATGAAATTTAATAAGTTATTAGAATGATAAAGTTATATGGGGTTATGAATGATAATATGCTTTTATAAAAACTTTTTAACTAGTTAAAACCAATAAAAAGCAAAAGTTATATATTCATTTTAATACTAGTTTTGGTTATACTAATTTTTGAGTTTTTACTGTTTACTATAAATTTTGAAAATTTTGACTTGCTTTGTGTGTTTATAAAGCAAAATTACTGAATATTAAGGATTAAATTGAAATATAATTTTTCAAATATCATATCCTGTGATTCTAAAGTTTAATTTAAAATATATTTGAATGTATATAAATTTAAAAAATTTTACCCTCCTATCAGTATGTTTCGTTGAGAAAATTTAGTCCATAATAGGCCATATTAAATTATTAATTTTAGAACTCAAAGAGAATTACTTTTTGGTACAAGTTTGATTAGTAAAAATTACTTTTTTACAGAATTTATTGATAAAGTTGCCTTTTTTCATTTTACATACATACATATATATACAATAAATAACAGACTCAAAAATCTGGTTTTTGAGTGTGATATTTATTGTTTTGACATCTAGTTACTATTTTTACATATACAAATACAGAGTGAATAGTAAAGTCTTAAGTCATCCAAATAACTTTTGAATGAAGATAGCTAGAGCTTTAGAAGTGAGGTATGATAAAGTTAAAATGCACTAACAGATGAGATTGATGGCAGCAGTCCTAGTGTGAGGTTTGCCAATTGGGTGGAAAGTGTCACATCAGTTGAGCGGTCAGAACAGTCATGTGCACATGGAAAGACTCACCAAGACAGGTTTACCATTTGAAACCGTTTAATAGATATATAAATTTTCTTACAATATCTTATAATGAGGCGTAATGCCTATCCAATGGAGAGAAACAAGTCCTTTCAAAAGATAAAAGTCCGAATGTCCTGATAGTTGTTTAGGTTTGTCCAGCGTAGGTGAAGCGGAGAGAAACAGCCTCGGGGCGCACAGCACAACTCGCAGTGATGATCTCCAATGACTTGGAGCACCTGGGTGGATCTTGAAGAGACAGGCTAGCCAAAACGAATTCTGGGACATCGAATTAGCCTTTACTGTAGAAGGATAGGAGCACAAAATTCCAGGAGAGGTGTGCTATGAACCAAGAATTTCCCATCCTTCAAACACAGTTTTATATGTTTTTCCTTTAAAGTCGCCTTTTCATTGGTCCCGACTCATCATCTGGTGACAATTTGAAACCAATTGGAGGGCACAGGAGAGGTCAGTTTTGCAACTAAATACGATTCCTTTCCAGCCATGTTTCCCTCAACTTGATCTTTTCTATTGTTTAAATAATTAAAAAAAAAACTTTCTTTGTTTAATCAAGATCTTTAATTTTTTCCTTTTGAGTTGTAAAAGGAGATTTTAATTTTTTGATTGATAGTCTCCATTCAGACCTCTACGTTGACTTCCTTCTGGGACCTCACACTAGTGGTAAAATTTAGAAGTTGCAGAGCATAATAAAATTATGACATTTCACAGAAACCAATATTGCAAATAGAAAATTTGGCTATACATGCATACCAGCAGCTAGTACAGTTCCATCAAAGATGAGTTGTGATACTATCAGTTTCTCTTAGCCATACAGTTGGATATGGAGCAATAAGAAATCATAAAGAATACTACCATGCAGCATCTTTAGCATTTTGTCCTGATTTATCATTTAGCAGTACTATATTGCAACAGTTTTCATTTATATAGCTTGTCATGACTATTTGTTGACATGATATTCTCCAGAGAACTGTCTGATGATTGACAATCATTTGTGCATTGTCACACTTAAATTTTTATCAGCAGTAGTGTCATATCATAGCCATCTTTTGTATGTAAGAGTGTGTACTGCTAATGTGCAAATATTGGCATCATGCTTAGAATTTCCAGCCTTCTATTTTTATCATCTGTTTTTGTCATTTTATACTAATGTGAAGATGCTCTACAGTTTCTCATGTACTTGTATCTTCTAGTTTCCAAGATAGAAACACTAACTTTCAAATTTTAGCTCTCTATTGCTAGAGTGCTGCTGTTGGTTTTATCTAGTGGGTCATGGCCACTTTACCAATACCTTACTTCCCCATAGCTCTAGATATCTTTGTTCAAAAGTTATTTAGGTGACTTAGAACTTTGCTTTGCAGTCTATATATGTACATACTAGCTGTTACCCGCAACTTCACCCACAGGGGTTTTGCAAGCAAACCCCATTTATATTCAGTATTTCAACAACCATAGTAATTGTTATATAACACCTACCACTGAGAATGGTGAGAATTGCTGAGAATCAAATGAACTGTTTTCAATTTGATCAATTTTCTGGAATGTGTACAATCGTTCTATAATCGAACCAATATGCAATAACAAATTCAAATTTAAAACGATTCGGACATTTGGTTAAAAAATCAAAATATATAGAAATATTTATAACAATGTCTGAAATGTTAGCAATTTAATACACCTAAGTACTCAATGAAGACTAAACGTAGTTGAAAATAAAAAAATGCATCTAAAATAGTACAGTAGAAGCTGTTCTTCAGGTTAAGCCTTAATCCTCCTAAATTCCCCGCGGGGAATTTCGAAAAATTCATTCATAGTGTGCGTTTTCATAACATAACCTAACTGTGTACCAAATTTACCTCTTTAGGTTCAGCGGTTTGGTCTGGGCAATGATGAATCAGTGAATCAGTCAGTCAGTCAGTCAGTTATGACAAGTAATTTTATATATTTAGATAAAATAGTATAAAATTTCTGAGTTATAAAGAAATATTATCTAAAAATTATATCTATCTTCAATTTTATTATTATCATTTTTATAGGCAGGGTTTGAATCTTAGTCAACTAAAACATGGATCATTAATGACTAGTATTGAATCAGGTGAATCACCTGTAAAATCAATGAATACACCAATAGATTATCATAGTCCAAGTTCTTCAGGTCAAGATACTGATGTCAGTTTAAGTTTAAAAAGTGAAATACAGGTATGTTAATTTACTTTAGTTATTACAATTTATTTTAAAAAATAAAAGAAATATATTATGAAATTGAAAACAAAATACTTTTTATAAATATAAACATAAAAAAATAAGTATTGATTTAAATCAAAAATTTAAATATGAATATTTTATTTCAAAAGTTTAAAATTTAATATTCACTAATATGCAAATAAATGTAAGCTTTTTGTCACTGCTTTATCATAGAATATAGAAAATATAATAGGAAGTTTACCTAAATTAATAAAATAATAAATAAAAATAATAGAACATGTCAGTTTATTTATATAAGTGGATTTTTAATATGTTTTATAATTTAAGTAAAATCAATTTCATTCAAAAGTTAAATTGTTAAAATATGTTATAAGTAGTTTATATAAATAAAATTGAATTCATATTCGGTGTTGCGAGATGAATTTCTAAATATAATTAATTAATGATAATTGCTGAATTACTAAGTTGCAAACAAGTTGTAATTAGAAAATTGATCATTTAATCTTAATTTTTGTCTAGACAAATTTGTCATTACAAATGGTTACAATTTGATTATAATTTAATAATTATAATCAAATTGTAATCAATTTGATTATAATTTAATAATTATAATCAAATTGGAAAATAACTTAAATATATAGTTTTATATACCAGATAATTCTAGGTAACAGATGAAAATGAAAAAAATAAAATATGAAATGCTTAGTGACTAGTATTGAATAGAATCTGTTATTTAGTATTATTGCTTAAATAAGAATAAAAATTTAAAATATTTCAAAAGACAAGTGTTTTTGTTGTTAAATAACATAGTTATAACAAATTTAATCTGTCAACAGTTATGTAGAGTTATTATCATTCCATTAAAATTTAAATTCTTGCAATTAACATAGAATAATTTTCCACATATCTTTCTAGTTGCACTATAATATTTATGTGCATAATTATTATAGTGTGACTACTTTACATTTTTAATGATAAATTGTGCTGGAATGCATTTGTGTATTCAACTTATAATATTCCTGTAATTAGAGGCTGTTTTATAATCTACTTTGCTAATATTTCATAATTATTTACATTTATTTAATTATAAGTGATTTCTTTTAATATTTTGTGTTTTTCAAAATAGCATATAAAAAATATATAACTATAAATTTGGTCAATAGTTTTGTTATTTATATAATGATTTCTTAATGATGATAATGACATTTTATTTATAATTTTTTTATAACATAAAATATTTTTAATGAATAAATATTAATGAAAAAATATTTTATAGATATCTATTGTTTATTTTTCTATAATGATGTAAAGTATAATAATAGGCTAATTGTTGCATTATTTTTGGTCAGTCATAGAAAATGTGGTCTGTTAAAACACAAAATACATAGTGTAAGTTTAATAGGAATATTATGTCCATATTTTCCATGGAAATATCTTTTAACTGTTCATAAAAGATTGGTAACACTTAAGATAAAGTGTAGTGAAGACAAAATGCACTGTTAATAGTCATTTCTAGATTGTTATTTTAGTAATTATTTTATTTTGCCTTAAGCAGTTCAGTTAAATGCAAAATGAGTAAGTCAAAGAGGAGCAAAACTTATGATTTATGCAATGGAAAGAAATAATTTTTTTTTTTGTTATGAAATAAAATAAATGGTATTGTTTAATTTATGTTTTAGTATATTTACAAAAAAGAGATAATATAGAATGTTGATTATGCCCAATAAATAAATATAACTATGTTTTGCAGAATATTTGGGTAGATTATTAAGACTAACAGCGCAAAACCTTTCTCACTAATTTCTAGCCTTATTAACTGGAGTACAAACGTTTTCGGCCTTCTTAATAGGCCTTCCTCGGGTACACTATAAATATATCAATTGTGCAAAAGTTCTAGCTACATATGCATAGTAGATTATTAAGCTTTTATAGAACAGAAATGATTAGTATATTTAACTTAAGAAAGTTGATCACACCCCACTATAAGTTTGCCAGGGCTAATGTAAAGAAATCAAGTTTTTAGTAATTGATGATTGAAATTGGGAATATTTTATTAACTTATTATACATAATTAATAATACAAAAGATCAGTAGTTTATGATAACAGATAAACACCAAGTTATGAGATCAAAGACTGATAACAAAGAAGTCATATCATAACAATAAAGAAAGAACTTCATATATATAAAATAAAGCTGAAATTAAATATAAATTTAAATCATGATGCAATTATGCAGAATTTTTCATCCTTTAATTTATATATAATTTTTTCAAATATTTATAAATGAATAATTAAATTTAAAAATTTTATAATTATTAATGTTAACTTAATAAAAAGATGATAACACCATCTATCTGTAGACAAATTACTTCAATAATTTAATCAAAAATAGTAAAAAATAGCCTAACAAAATTCAGGATAATTTGATTTATATTTAGAATGTATAATTCAATTTTTGTTATGTATTCTAACCCCAGTAAATAGAAAATACATTAAATAATTTAAGAAACACTAACATAAATTAGCAGGTAGTTAAAATTAGACGTGGTATCATCTGTTATGAGATGTTATTAAAAAATAACTTTTATTTTATTGATTATTATAAAAAATCAAAAAGGCTTCATTTTGAGGATAGAGATGAGTTTCTAAAAATGTTGTAAATGTCAGTAATGAGTAAAATTTTCATTAAGTCCAGTCCCACTCAAGATATGACATGTCCACCTCTATCTCACCACTCTTTGACCTTTAACTATCAAAATTTATTAGCATCAATGTCTCATATACAAGTTACCATGACAAATTTTGTTTCTTAATCTTTATCTTATCCTGAACATTATCAGTTTTTTTACTTTTTTGGTTTAGGGCTCAAAATATCAAGCTTTTAAATAAGACAGGATTACAATATTATATTAAAAAAGCCAAAAAAGTAATTCATGTTATGTTGTAACAGCCAGGAAAGTAAAACCTATGTGAAAAACAACATTCAATTTATTATAGTTTGCATGTCAAATTATAATATTGAGTAAATTAATTGTTTATAAAAACCTACTGTTTCACCACCAAATAACATATCTAAAAATATCAATTTTTCTTTATTTTTATTTTATACATTTATGACATTATTGCAATTGACAAATTGTAGCTTTCCCAATAAAACAAAGTTTCATTAATATCCATTATAATAAAAGTTACACACATAAGACAACCATAAACTCATTACAATAAAAACAACAAATAAACCTATGAAATGAAACAATATTTATACTGTTAATATTTGCATACCTTAAGCTACTGAAGTTTAAATTTGTTCAGATTTTTAGAAAATCCATTCTATCTGTTTATATAAATATATCAATTGTGAGAACTGAGGGAGTAGAACATCAAGCTTCTCTTTGCTTACCAGCGGCTCAGTCAGGTATGGCCATATAGGAGGGCAAAAATATGAGTGATGAGGGGTAGTGAGATCATGACAAGGTGCTGATTGCACTCAAGGATGATTTAGAATATAATAAGCATATTTAAGAAACTAACTTATGCAAACAAATACAAATCAAAAAGGTTACAATAATTCATCTAATAAGATTCTAACTAACTACCTAAGATCTAATTATAACGACATAATATTGACAAATCTTATACTATGATCAAGAGAGCGACAAGTTTCAAAAGAGAGAGTATCGAAATGGGGTTAAGTGATTAACTCATGGATTCCTGCTCTCGATGTATGGGAGGTTGGTAAAACGCTCTTGGATCGGTGGGTCCCAAATTGTAGTCTCCCTTGGATGGCGGTATGGAGTGACAGACAGTATGACAGTATGGGTCTGGTGTCCCTTGATGTCTGCTCTTCTATGTCCACTTCTGGGTGTATGCTGGCTGTCCACTTGTTGGGATTTGCATCAGCTGTCTGCTGTTGATGTGTCTACTCATATGTGTCCACCCAGAGGTGCTAGTGCAACCCCTTTTTATACACGGCTTGGCGTAGGAATTATCAGGGGAAATCTGATGTAATAGCCTTTTGTGGCTAGCGTTGTTTACGGTAATCAAACGGTTTCTTTGATTTCGTATGTGAGAAAGCTGTCATCTTCTTAAATTAATGTCCTCTGGCGGCTAGGATCAAAACATTGGCGAAATCACTGTCGCTGCACCGACCAACCCACTGACAATCAAACAATCATCACTTTGGTGATAACTGGCCATTGTTGGTACTTTGATACGTACAGCCTGTCCTTGTATTTGACCCTTCTTTGCTCCCCTCTATCACATAACCGATGAAAGTTCTTGCTTATTGGCTACTTATTTGTATGTTGTATCGCAAGTGGAACTGAATAAGCTCCTGCTGTGAGGGGAAAACTTCCAAGACGTTTCTAAGGTCACCTTTCAAAGTGATGCAGTACACTTATAGGTCAAAAGGTCTTGCCTTTACTTCAATGAGGGGGGAAAGGTGAAATAATGATAAAAATAAAAATTTACCGACATGTGAAAATTTACACAGGAGTCTGAATTCTCACACAATTGTTCTTTCTTATTAATAAATATTTTTAAAAAATATTACTACAGAATACCCAAAACACTTGATATTTCTTTGAATTTGAAATATTTATAACATAAGAATAATAAATCAGTTTTTATTAAACTTTTTAATCTTTTTGAAATAGACACAATAATTTTAATATAATTTATATATATATTACAGTCTCAGGAATTAAATGCCACATCACCAAAATTACAAAATCAGAAGGGAAATGTTATAAGTCATTCATCTGAAAAAGGTTCGTAAGTGCATATTAGTTTTATCTTTCAAAATTTATATTATTTTAAGGTTAATAGGTTTATTTAATTTGTTTAATAATACAGTTTAACCCGATTATAACGACATCAGATGTAACGACAACCCTAATATAACATCAAATTTTTATCGGTCCCACGATTTTACTATATTAGATAACGTTAAAAAACCCACTTGTAACAACATAAAACCCTGTTTTAATGTCATATTTGAAGCACTCTCAAATTTACAAAATTATATTATAAATTTTATTTATCAAAGAAAATACTACATGTTTAGTCCTAAGGGTCAGAGTCCGCTTCCTAGAACGATTGTGGGTGGTACTGTCACCACCTGATTCAGTGGGGTGAGATTCGTCACTCCTTTAAACAACGTGACAGTGGGTTAGTCTGCAAAGCTCTCATACTTGTATTGTAGTTTAGCATCAAATCAGGTAAAATGGCTAGCTTAAAAAAGGAAAGCATTAATGTTAGACTGAAAAGTAGAAATAATTAAAGCAGTTGAAATTGGAAGAAAAATGGCAGATGTATGCAGAGACTTTGGTTTAGCAAATTCTACAGTGTGTACAATAATAAAAAAACAGAGAGAAAATTTTGAAAAGTTTTTAAGATATCTAGGGACAAGTGAAAAAAATTAAGTTATGTGAAAAAGTCAATATTGATGATGCTCTAATTAAGTGGTTTAACCAATGCAGAAGTTCCAACTTACCACTAAATGGACCATCACTAATGGAAAAAGCAGAAGAATTTGGACGACTACTAGGCGATATTAACTTTAAATGTTCTAATGGACCGTTTTTTTAAAACAAAGACATAACATAAGTTTTGGTAAAGTGTGTGGAGAAGCAAAAAGTGTAAATTTACTGGACGTTGAAAACTGGTTAAGAGATGTGTGGCCTAAATTAAGGGGAGACTATGCAGATGAAGACATTTATAATGCAGATGAAACAGGGATATTTTACAAACTTTTATCAGATAAAACATTTAAATTTAAAAACAAAAAGTGTGTTGGTGGAAAACTTGCGAAAGATAGGATAACAGCTTTTGTTTGTGCTAATACGACTGGTACAGACAAAAGAAAACTTCTTCTAATAGGAAAATCAAAGAATCCGAGATGTTTTAAAAACATAAAAATACTACCAGTAAATTACAAAGTGAACAAAAAGTCATGGATGACATCTGAGATTTTTGAAGAAGAAATTCGAAAATGGGATAGAGAACTTATTGGTAAACGAAAAAAGTTTTACTCCTTGTCGATAATTGCCCAGCACATTCAATTTTAGAAAATTTAAAGAACATCAAACTTGTATTTCTTCTTCCAAATTGTACTAGAGTACTTCAACCAATGGATCAAGGAATTATAAGAAGCCTTAAATCTCATTTCAGAAAAATTCTTTTACTAAAAATTATAACAAATATGGAAGATAAAAATAAAATGGCAATTCCTTTATTAGATGCAGTTGATTTTTTGGAAAAATCTTGGTGTAAGGTTGGTTTGTTAATAATAGCAAACTGTTTTCATCATGCAAAATTGTGTAATAGTCAAACAGCTATTACATTTACGAAAGATGACAATAATGAGGACGATGACATTCCTCAATCAGAATTAATTAAAACACTTCAAAGTTCAGAAAACGGCGAATTTTTGTCATCTGCTGCTACTGAATATGAGAGTGTAGATGAAAATTTAATAACATCTGAATTTTATACAGATGCAGATATAATTGAGCAAATTAAATGTTCAGACGAAAAAAATGTGAATGATGATGATGATAATGAAGATGAAACATCAAACAGAGAAACTGCAGTGCTGTCAATCAGGGAAGCAAGTAATGCAATAAGATTATTGAAAATGTTTTACAGGTCTTGTAAAACTTCATTGGAAATAATGAACAAAATCTACGACTTAGAAAATGACATTGATAAACAATTTTTAGGTGAAAAACGCCTACAATCTAAAATAACTGACTTTTTTTAAATGAATATTTTTATTGTTTCTTTTTAATTGGTATACATTAATTTAACCTAAAAGTGAAATATATTGGACTTCATGCAGATTGATAGATAAGCAAGAAACGAGAAAATTATCATCCAGGCATTAATAACTCTTGGATGATAATTTTCTTGTTTCTTGCTTAATTTAACTTTTTGTTGCCTTTTGATTTGACATTATTCTCAAAACCGAAAGTGCTGCTATTATTGAAACTTGAGACAAATAAAAATTTCTTATAAAAAGGTATATTTGAAATTTTTAATTACATCGTTGTAAATTTAGACATAATAATGTAAATAAAGTTGATTTAAACATTTAGTTTGCACTTTTATACATACGATGTTAAATTAGATGAATTTTATAATAGATTCTTAAACACACTTGATACTTTTATGGGACTGAAATTATGACCTCGCAGATAACGACACTCTGTTATAACGTAAAAAAATTGCAGGTCCCATGGAGTATGTTATAAGCGGGTTAAACTGTTTAATAATTTAAATTTACTGTTTAATGTAAGTCATTTAAGTTCATAAAGAAATTTTTCAAAACATAATAAATATGAATTTAGAAAATTCACTTAATTACATAATAAAGCAATATAGCTGCAGACACAAATTTTAAAAAAGCTGACTATAGATTAAAATAATATTAATTCTTATTTTTTAAAAGATAATGGCTTGAATAGTCACAAAAAATAATAACAACAATTAGTAGTATTTATTTTTAATAATAATAGCATTTTGCTTTTTATTTATTATAGAAGTTTCATTTGTTACAATATTATCAAGTTTATATAACAAAACAATAGCATTTTTGGTCATATTTGTTTTATTTAATTATGACAAGATATTTTTGCTTTTATAAAATGTGTTAATTACTATTTATTTCATGAAATTTCACAAAAATTTGTTAATTCTGTATTAGCAATTTTTTATTTTTATTTTGTGTATTATAATTAGAGGTTATGTTTGAGAATTCTTAAGAAATTACAGTTATTTTTTACTCTTGTTTCTCAATTAGGTATTTGCAAGAATTTATGGAAATTTTGGGAATTACTAATAAAAGTAATGATTCTTTTAAACATCATTCTATTTTAAGTACATATTCATCAAGGATTTCAATTGTATTTTTATTCAAGGTTCTCATAGTTTTACAAATCCTGAAAAGTCTGTAAAAAGTGCTTAAAATCTTTTTTGCATTGTTGTGGTATTACAAGTGTTTAATTTTCTATTGATGGCTCAAAAATAATCTTGGAAAAATATATCTGTACAAAAATTATTATTTTATGACAATCAGATAACTGAACAGTTTATACAGTAATTGTAAGAATCTGGAGCTGAAGGGATTAATTTTAACAAATTTTGTTAAAGTATTCATTTAATTTATTTGATAGAAATTTTATCTGTTTTACAAAATGATATGAAGTTGAAAAAGGAACTTCCTTTTTTGATGGAGGACAATGACATAATTCCTCCAAAAGCAATAGTTAGTGTGGAATTTCTCGTGCTTATCTGCAAGACTGCTTGACTTCCATCATGCATCAGAAGCATGGAGGGCTTATTTTAAATAATCTTATTGGAGGAAATTTTCATATGAAAGGTGATGGGTCACCTCCAAACAACACTCTTGCTCTCACTCTTGTTCTCTCTCCCAGTTCTCTACCCTCCACTGAGGTAAGATCTGTATTCCCGATTTTCCAACTCTTACTCATTCTCCTTCTGAGGCAAGACAAGATAATAGAAAGATTTTTTAAACTTGTGCTTTACTTCAAGAATAATCTTGGTACAGTGTTCAGTTAATTTACATATCACAGGTAATATAGTATGATTCATGTAAACTGTTTTGAACTAAAATAAGACTAGTGAGTTGTAGTTTGAAGTCTGTCTCCTACAGATAATTATCATAATTGGAAATTTTGTTCTTTATCTCATTGTACTTGTCTTTAATTTTAATCCTATATAACTATATATGTGTGTGTGTGTGTGTGGGTTAAACATAGGTTTTTTTTTTTTATAAATAAACATATATATTTTAGTTATCATTTGAGTTGTTTATTTAAATCCTATCTCCAACTTCAACTCATTTCAAATCAAACCCTCCTAAAATTCTGGTAAAATATTACTTTTTTTCCATTTGGAAAAGTCTAATTGTGAGTTAGAATGCAAAATAGTTAATCCTAACTAATGTTAGGAGACCTTGACAATAACCCAAGAAAGTTGAGGTATTTGTGTTCTTTTCAACTTTTGGCAATCAATTAACAGCCATCACTTAGTGAGGCGGGTTATTCAGGAGACCTCATTCTCACATAATCATGACTTCATTTCATTAATTTTGTTGGGTGAATAAAGAATATCTCAAAAAGATTTTGTGCTAACAGTCCAAAGTTCTTTGTTTGCAAGAATACTGATGAGATTTAATTTAAAATACATTGAAAAAAACTAGATTTGGATTTGTATTCACATACCTGTCACTTACAATCACCAGAAACAAACAGTCTTCCTTTATAGAAATTACTTTTTATTAGAGGCTAGACCTCTGTAAAAATATGTAAAAAAACAAATAGTTTTGATTAAAATTTAATTAAATTAAATGAATTTGAGATAATACAACTGTTATGTGAATAATGCAGGATATTGTATTGCTCCTTACAATAGTTGGATTTGTATCAATTTTTTAATTGACACATATGATTCAATATTTCAGAGCAGCAACACATGTGCAAATCTTGCACTGCCTGTTTGTAGAGAGTGTCATCACTTTGAATTTTATTTTGACTAGGTTCTCGGTCCCCTGAATATATAAAAAAAAAAACCAGACTTGTTGGTATACAGGGGACAGAGAACTGTGTCAAAATAAAATACAAAATGGCAACTCTCTCTACAAACAGGCAAACTGAAGTCAGGTGGTGAGAGTACCACCCACAGTTGTTTTAGGCAGTGGACTCTGACCCTAGGACTGAATACATAGTATTTTCTTTGTTAAATAAAATTTGTAATCTAATTTTGTAAATTTGGGAGTGCTTCAAATATGTCATTAAAACAGGGTTTTATGTCATTACAATGGTTTTTTATCTAGTATAATAAACAAGTAGGTTTTTTTATCTAGTATAATAAAATCGTGAGGTACTTAAAAAGACTTAGGGTGTAAGTGCTTAAAAATTTCTTTTAGAGTCCTTAAAAAAGTACTTAATTTTTAAGGGAGAAAAGAAATGGGAATCATGTTGTGTATATATGTTACTGTGAATGATCGATATCTGGCGAATGTCAACATTCTCCGGTGAATGTCAGCATTCACACAGTCGTTTCGTGTATGTATGAAATATTTGCTAAATATCATTATTTCTCACTTACACCGGCAAATGTCGACATTCAGCATGCACTGATGGTGAATGTTTAATAAAAATATCTTTATTATGTTAAGACAAAAATGCAACTTTTTAATATGTCAAAATAGGAGAAAGCTTTAGTAACAGCACATGTAAATAAACTGTTGAACCTAAAATGAACAGTACATTCTAAATCATTAAAGAAAATAATACAATAATAAACTTACACATAAATTATGTGATTAATGTTATACAATCTTATTTATTGCAACAACTTAAATTGTCGTGGCACTTTGAATTGCACAAGAGCCCCTTTCTTTTACAACTGCATTTATTCGTGGAACACTTCTTTTTGCAATGACAGCATGTATAGCCTTGCCCTACACTTTTCGAATTAGCTGCAGCTGCTTCTCTCAGCGATATTTCTTGAGAAGAAATCTCATCTATGGAAAGTAACTTTTCTTTACAAATTATGAACTGATTGCGTGATTACGAACTGATCTGTTAATGGTGTCTTTTATTTGGATATCGCTGATGCCTTATCGACGACCCGTCTCATTCTCCGCCACTCGACCTGACAAACCGATCCTCATCTCACGGGATCAAAAGAACAAAAACGCCATTCAATGACAAAGTGGTTTTCACCAAACCGTTGCCAGGAAAAGAGGTATGACCTTGTCCTACCTCCGGCTACCCACAGAGGATTTGACGACAGACTATCACCTCTCTGTTGACATTGGCTTCTCGGGTGTCATTTCGACCTGCACCAAAGCTTATCTGTGCTTGTCGACATACACCAGCTATTGTTCGAATGCATAATATTATAACCAAATATTCGGTCTTTCACAGTAACATATATAATTAATTGCAATATATGCAGTGAATAAGTAAAATAATAATAATAATAATAATAATAATAAAAAAAGGAAAAAGGGTTAGGATGAACAAGTGAACTCTTAAATCCTGTAGAAATGTTTGTTGCAGATTAGTACCTCTTCTATCTCCTAGATGATGGAGAACTGTCTTAGGACAGAGGACTGTCTTATGTTATCAAAGAACCTTTATCTTGATTGGAATTCCACAACACTGAGTTCCAGTTGTGACATCTTTCTCTTTCTGAGTCTTATAGTATGTCAATCAAATTTCTCATTTTCATCTCTTTTCTGCCACACTTCTGATCTTAGATTTTTAGCAGATGGTGGTGTATAGTTAGGAGATGTTTTCCTTGAGTTGATTAATAAAAATTTTAACAGCCAGAGCATTTTAAAATTTTTATTTTGACTTTTGAGAATAATAATACAGAAATTAGTATAAAACTCTTCAATGAAATAAAAATAAAAATTTCCAAAAGACAAGATGTCACAATAACACCATTAATATAATTTTTAGAAAATCCTGTTTTTTCAGATGAATGAAGACAATTTATTTTTGTACTCAAGATTTAAAAACATAATGTAATAAAACTTTCAGATTGTGATGTAACTCCTCTTCCAAATTATAACTGTAAATGCTAATAAGAACTAAAATCTGGTGAAAAAATGATATTAGAATTAAATTGGGGTTTAGAACAACAATTAAAGAAATGGATACTACAATATACATATCCCATATATGTATTAAATTTAATAATAGATCTATATACCTATCAACCAATGAATCTAAATGAAATAAATAAAATGAAAGTATTGATTAATTTATTCATCAGTGTAAAAGAAACTAATTTGAAATGAGAGAAATAAATATGACGTAAGCAATTATATATAATAGACAATAAAATATATATATATTATGTATTTGTATCAACTTTAAGAAGACTAATGAAATTGTAATTGCTGATAACTGATAGAAGGATCTGTTATGTATATATATATATATATATATATATATATACATAACAGTATAAAGTTGAATTTTCACAATGAATTAAAGGGGTATATATCCCTTTGATTCATTGTGATAATTCAACTTTAATGTATCATACAAAAGTAAGCATTGTATAATAATTAATGAAGATGCCATATGGTCCATGAATCTTATTTTTGGTGATGATTTCAAAGAACATAGTCTTCTTTTAGAATTGGAAACTCTACAGAAATAATGCTGTTCATTTGAGTTAGTCTAAAATAACCAAACTTTGTAATATTATCTTACTTTTAATGTTTAATCTTATAACTTTTTGTTGGGCAACATAGATATCTGCTAGTACAGAGATAGAATTTTCAAAACTTCATACCATATAAGAATGAATGGCAATACCCCAACAAACAAATACACAGTGTAAATGAAACAAAGAAAATGCAGACTGGAACCTATAAGCCATCTAATTATAGTATATGGGAATTTTACTCTAGTTGCATTCATGATTGTTGCTTTTATTGTTTTGTTGTTATAAATATCAATCAGCATTCATTATATTAAGTACTTTATCTTTTAAATGGGAAAAATAGATAAAAGAAGCAGCTCATATTGAATTCTCAAATATTAAGTATTTCTAAATAAGGGTCACATTGTAATTTGATAAGTGTGATCAATAACAATCTTCTATAATTTTAGTTTCATACAAATTATTTATTTTTAATTAGAAACATTACAAAATCATACTTTTATTTTGTAGTTTTTACTTCTATCACTACTAGTATTGAAAATAAATATCCGATTTATTATTTTTAGAGGATGGATGGACGGATGGTTTTGGATCAGACTTGACTCAGGCTATTACATCTGAATTGGATATTTCTCAGTCAGATGATACAGAATTGCAAAAAACCAATATTAAAAGGTAATAAAATGCATTAAATTTTTTTAAAATCAGAAATTGTATTTTAAGTAAACATTTTTTAAACATATAAAACAGCTTTTATATCATCTCATTTATTCAAAAAGCTGTTTTTTTTTTTCATCTTTATTATTCAGGTTTCTAAAATCCATCTGTAAGGACATTAACAGTCAAAATAAATCATATCTTCAAGAATATTTATCTGTGAGATTCTGAACAATAATTAAATGATAAATTTATAATACAAGATATAAAATTACTTATTTGTACAATTTATTCAATTAAATACAGTCGACCCCCCTATAATTACGGTCCCTATAATTACGATTCCTATAAAACTACGAAAAAATATACATATTTTGGAAATGTTGAGTCGGATTAGTGTAGAATCGATTAATTTTATGGAAGAAAACCTTTCAATCAGCTGTAGTCCGTAAACTTGACACGTGTCGGGCTGTGATTGGAACGACTTGTAAGAAATCGGATTCCTAATAAATTGGAACGTATCTATATCTTATAGGGGGGGTCGACTGTAAAAGAATAATAATTTAGTCTAAAAGTTCAAGTTAACATTCATTCAACATCCTGCCAACAAAAAACATTACTGGGAAATAAATATTTTCTCCACACTTTCTTCCTCAAAAAGGGAAAGAAAGACAAAAATATCATTGCCAAGGGATCTATAAAAAGGAGGGATGTCAAAAATTACATCACTATTGACAGTCAGAGGGTCAATCAATCAGTCGGATAGTCCAAAAAAATCAACCAATTAATTAGGAAGTTGGTAGTTTGTGATATAGGAAAAATTTCAAGACACACAAAACCTAAAGAAGCTAGAATCAGGAGAGAAACTTATTATAGATTAAATAATGCAGGAAAAATTGCACAGATTATGAATTAAATAACAAAAAGTGTACTTCTCTATTATTGGAAATGTATTAACATCTAATCATTTCAGCATCCAGTAAAATGTGGAAGATGAAACACATCACAAATATTTTCAGAATACAGTTAGTTCCAGCTTTAGGTTGAAATAGTTCATTTATAATTGGAATGAATGGAATATAATATTCACATAACAGTTAGAGACATGTGCTGATCTATCCAGGTTATAATGATGTTACATAACACACTTTCCATGCTTTTGACAGTTGTATCTCATTTTTAGAGTTTATGCAATTGGAGCCAAGGCTGGCTTTATTATACAGTAGAGAGTTATTTATCTGAAAGTTGGTCAACCGAAACATCAGTTAACTGAAAGCATTCCAGTCGGCAAATTTAAATTTCCGCTAGTGCTGTGGCACTGCAACCTTTGGCTATGTCTTGGGCTACTCCAATATTTTTTTGTTGGTGTGTGTTTTAGCTGGCAGCACTGGCACTTTTGTGTTGTGTTTTTCTGAGGACTGTGTGTTGTGCTGAATTGAATGATTTTGATACAGTGCTACATTAACTTCTAAAGTATAATTTTTTTTTTCAATATATTTATTTTGTTTGTACAAAATAAAGAAATAATTTTTAATGCTACAATAGCCACAATTATTATTATAAAAATTTTCATTAGTCTTAACATCAATGAAAATTCAATGCAAAGCGACACGCAACAGAGAAAAATTTCAACATGGGATAGGTTAATATATTTTTTTATATGTAATTGGTTATCCGAAAAATAAGTTATCCGAATAACCCCAGTCCCAATTGATTCGGATAAATGATGCTCTACTGTATTTCAATGGACTGTAAAAGCCTGATATGGTTCCAATTTGTAGAGGATCTGAAAGCTGAACCTGATTTAATTTTGCCTCTATATTGTCTTCTGAGGCAAACCTATATAGGGCATTGGTGATTTTTGAATGCTTTTTGTCATATTTGTGTTTCCATATCCTCTGTTCTAATGACCTTTTAGTGGCACAGATTCAGTTTATCATATTCTCTACAAATTAGAACCACATCAGGCTTTTATAGTCCATCAAAATATAATAAAGCCAGCCTTGGCTCCAATTGCATAAACTCTAAAGATGAGATACAACTGTCAAAAGCATGGAAAGTGTGTTATGTAACATCATTATAACCTGTATTGATCAGCACATGTCTCTAACTGGCCTGTTCAAATTCAAATGCTACAGGAATATTCTATTCAATGTATTCCAATTATAAATTAACTATTTCAACATGAAGCTGAAAACATTTGTGATGTGTTTCATCTTCCACATTTTATTGGATGCTGAAGTGGTTCTGTGATTAGATTAAATAATTTCATAAAAGATTTATGTAGATCATTATATATTCAGATGAGTTGTTGTTTATAGACAAAACAACATTTTTTGAAAAAGATGAAGAAAAACTATGAAAGTTATATACAGATTGGTAATTATATACAATGATCATATTTCAAAAAAATCAAGCATTTTTGAAAATGCCATATGGTCCATGAATCTTATTTTTGGTGATGATTTCAAAGAACATAGTCTTCTTTTAGAATTGGAAACTCTACAGAAATAATGCTGTTCATTTGAGTTAGTCTAAAATAACCAAACTTTGTAATATTATCTTACTTTTAATGTTTAATCTTATAACTTTTTGTTGGGCAACATAGATATCTGCTAGTACAGAGATAGAATTTTCAAAACTTCATACCATATAAGAATGAATGGCAATACCCCAACAAACAAATACACAGTGTAAATGAAACAAAGAAAATGCAGACTGGAACCTATAAGCCATCTAATTATAGTATATGGGAATTTTACTCTAGTTGCATTCATGATTGTTGCTTTTATTGTTTTGTTGTTATAAATATCAATCAGCATTCATTATATTAAGTACTTTATCTTTTAAATGGGAAAAATAGATAAAAGAAGCAGCTCATATTGAATTCTCAAATATTAAGTATTTCTAAATAAGGGTCACATTGTAATTTGATAAGTGTGATCAATAACAATCTTCTATAATTTTAGTTTCATACAAATTATTTATTTTTAATTAGAAACATTACAAAATCATACTTTTATTTTGTAGTTTTTACTTCTATCACTACTAGTATTGAAAATAAATATCCGATTTATTATTTTTAGAGGATGGATGGACGGATGGTTTTGGATCAGACTTGACTCAGGCTATTACATCTGAATTGGATATTTCTCAGTCAGATGATACAGAATTGCAAAAAACCAATATTAAAAGGTAATAAAATGCATTAAATTTTTTTAAAATCAGAAATTGTATTTTAAGTAAACATTTTTTAAACATATAAAACAGCTTTTATATCATCTCATTTATTCAAAAAGCTGTTTTTTTTTTTTTTTCATCTTTATTATTCAGGTTTCTAAAATCCATCTGTAAGGACATTAACAGTCAAAATAAATCATATCTTCAAGAATATTTATCTGTGAGATTCTGAACAATAATTAAATGATAAATTTATAATACAAGATATAAAATTACTTATTTGTACAATTTATTCAATTAAATACAGTCGACCCCCCTATAATTACGGTCCCTATAATTACGATTCCTATAAAACTACGAAAAAATATACATATTTTGGAAATGTTGAGTCGGATTAGTGTAGAATCGATTAATTTTATGGAAGAAAACCTTTCAATCAGCCGTAGTCCGTAAACTTGACACGTGTCGGGCTGTGATTGGAACGACTTGTAAGAAATCGGATTCCTAATAAATTGGAACGTATCTATATCTTATAGGGGGGTCGACTGTA